CCGGTTTCTCCTCCATCTATTGCTATTCAAACACCATGTGACACTGCTGCTCTTGCATCTCTTGGCAACAATCAGAATCGCCTTCGAGGAGGGTCATCCAACTCTAAACCTCGTCCTAAGTGTGACCATTATAACCGGCTTGGACATACTATCGGTCGTTGCTGGAAGTTGCATGGCAAACTTCCACGGCAGGTAAATGCAACTCAAATTGATAACCCAGACACAATGCAGACTTCACCTTCTCTTCGGAACCCTACGCCAAGCTACGAGGATTTTCTCAGGTGGTGTCAGACTAACTAGACCTCTGGTTCCACGGTTTCGATTGCACACACTAGTAATTCATCTACCTGCGTCTCTCAATCATCTTCTCTTGGTCCTTGGGTCCTCGACTCTGGTGCATCTGATCATGTTACCGGTAATAAAAATCTTTTCTCTTCCCTTTTTACCTCTGGTTTCTTACCGAGTATAACTGCTGCAAATGATTCTCAAACCCAATCCTAAGGGATTGATACTGTTTGAATTCTACCATCTCTCTTTGTTACTTATGTTTTATATGTACCTAATTGCCAATTTAATCTACTGTCAGTCAGTCGTTTAACCTGTTCCCTTAATTGTTCTATCACTTTTACTAACAGTGATGTTATTATACAGGATCGAAGTTCGGGACAGACGATTGGCGTTGGATGTGAGTCTCAAGGCCTCTACTACTTCTCTACGTCATCTACCACATATTCCACCACAAATTCTCCACTCACTATACATGCACAGTTAGTTCATCCAAGTCTTCCCAAGTTACAAAAGTTGGTGTCCAGTTTTATCTAAATTATCCACTTTACAGTGTGAGTCTTGTTAATTAGGAAAACATACTCGTAGTCACTTTCCCGACCGAGTTAATAAACGGGTTGCGCCCCCTTTTGCTTTAGTTTACTCCGATGTTTGGGGTCTATCGCATACCATGTCTACTTTTGAGTCTATGTATTTTGTAACATTTATTGATTATTTTTCACGTTGCACGTGGCTATTTTTAATGAAAAATAGATCTGAATTGTTTTCTATTTTTGAACAATTTTATCGAGAAATAAGAATCCAATTTGGTTTGTCCATTCATACCGTAAGAAGTGACAATGCACACGAATATTTATCCCAACAATTTCAAACTTTTATGTCATCCAATGGTATTCTGCACCAAACATCTTGCCCTCATACACCTCAATAAAACGGGGTAGTCGAAAGCAAAAACTGACATCTCGTAGAAATCACTCGGACTCTACTTCTCTATGGTAATGTCCCTCTCAGATTTTGGGGGGATGATGTGCTCACGGTGTGTTATCTCATAAATCGCATGCCCTCATATGTCCTAAATAATAAAATCCCTCATTCAATCTTATTTCTAAACTTTCCTCTCCACCTAATTCCTCCCCGAGTCTTCAAGTCTACATGTTTTGTGCATAATCTCTCCACTGATCTTGATAAACTATTATCTCGATCACTAAAGTGTGTCTTTCTTGGTTAACACTGATCCCAAAAGGGTTATCGTTGCTACTCACACACTCTGCAACTATACCTGATATCGATCGATGTTACCTTCTTTGAGTATGTGCATGTTTTACATCCATCCAAGTCACTCCGGAACCCCTTCAGGAAAGTACTCCCACACCTCTTTCGAAAGTCCCATTTCCCATTATCCCCAATCATTATAAGGAACTTGTCCCATGAGAAACCCCTATGGTTGACCCCTCCCCCCCCACTTCTCGCCCACTTCAAACATATCAGCATCGTAAACTAACATCTGCCATACCTTTCCCTAAGGTTGTACATGTCCCTGAGGTCGTACATGTCCCTGAGGTCATTGCAGACTCTCCTCCAACGCTATTGCCATCACCAGATTCGATCCTGCAACCTGAGTCTGATCTTCCGATTATCCTTCGCAAAGGTATACATCAAACACGAAATCCTTCTCTAGATTATATTAATTTATGTTATCATTGTCTTTCTCCTTTGCAATATACTTGTTTGTCCTATTTGTCTATTGTTTCTATTCCTAAATCTCTAGGTGAAGCATTATCTCACCCTGAGTGGAGGCAAGTAATGATTGATGAAATGTGTTCTCTTCAAAGCAGTGGTACCTGGGAACGGGTCCCCTACCCACTGGAAAATCTTTAGTAGATTGTCGTTGATTTTATACAGTGAAGGTTGGTCCAAATGGTAATCGTTTTAAAGCTCGCTTGGTAGCCAATGGATACACTCAAATTTTTGGGTTGGATTATAGTGATACCTTCTCGTCTGTAGCCAAGATGGCATTTGTTAGGCTTCTTTTAGTCATTGCATCCATTCGACATTGGCCTATTCATCAACTTGACATCAAAAATACATTTTTACATGGTAATCTTGAAGAGGAACTATATATGGAGCAACCACCTGAGTTTGTTGTTCAAGAGGAGTCATCGAATATAGTTTGTAGGCTACACATGTCTCTTTATGGTCTTAAGTAATCTCCGAGAGCTTGGTTTGATAGATTCAACACTATAGTACAACAATTTGGCATGATCCGTAGTGAAGCTGACCATTCTATCTTTTATCGTTGTTCAGTCCAAGGGTGTATTTATCTTATTGTGTATGTAGATGTTATTGTCATAACTGGTAGTGATGATCCGGGAACACTCCAGTTGAAACGACATCTTTCGAATCAATTTCAGACAAAGGATCTTGGTAAACTCTAGTATTTCTTGAGTATTGAGGTAGCCCAATCTAAAGATGGTTTGGTGATTTCTCAGCGAAAATATGCTATGTATATTTTGGAAGAAACGAGTTTGTTGAACGCTAAACCAGTTGATATTTCTATGGATCCAAGTGTCAAATTAATACCCAATCAGGGGGAGCCTCTATCAGACCCAGGAAGGTATAAGAGATTGGTTGGAAAGTCGATTTATCTCAGTCACTCGTCCAGACATTTCTTTTGCAGTCAGTGTGGTAAGCCAGTTCTTAAATTCCCCTTGTCAGAAACACATGGATGTTGTTATCTGGATTCTAAGATACATCAAATGTGATACAAGAAAAGGTTTAGTGTATGAAGATAAAGGACATACTCAGATAGTTGGATACTCTTATGCTGATTGGGCAAGGTCACCAATTGATAGACGATCCGCCTCTGGGTATTGTGTACTTGTTGGAGGAAACCTTATACTCTAGAAAAGTAAGAAACAAAATGTAGTTGCAAGATCAAGCGCCGAGGTAGAGTATAGGGTCATGGCAATGGCAACATGTGAACTCATTTGGTTAAAACAGTTGCTCAAAGAACTTAAAATTGAAGAAGCAAGACCAATGACACTTGTATATGATAATCAAGCTACATTGTACATTGCTTCAAATGCAGTCTTCCATGAGAGGACCAAATATATTGAGATAGACTGTCATTTTGTTAGAGAGAAGATTGAATATGGCGACATCGTCACAAACTTTGTCAACTCTAATGATCAATTGGCATGTGTTTTCAAAACCTCTGTGAAGCCCCAAAACTAATTATATATGTGGCAAGTTTGGTGCATTTGACTTATATGCTCCAGCTTGAGAGAGAATGTTGATATTTGTAAACATATAATGTTAAAAATATTTGTATGTAGAATAGTCTCACATCGATTATATCGTGTAATTAGTTGTAATCTCTATATATATAATAAAGTCCCCGTAGTGCTTTTAAAACACACAGTTTAACTTAAATGTCTTTTAGTCTCTCTTAATTCAATAATTAAGACTACCTAAATTAAATAAGATAAAATACCAAAAATAAACAATACAGTATATTTAATTAAACGATCCAAAACAAATTTAAGTTAAACTATGACAAATAAATTATAATTGTGAAAAAGAAACAGTATTGATTTGGACAACAATCAATATTGAGCTGGACAAAGTGACTATGTTTAAAAGAGACGGCGTGATGATGATGAAGCGTAGTTGAAAGAAAAACTATAACAAAGTAATAAAACTTAGAATTTTGTATGGTTGTAAAAAATAAGGATTTTTTTTTTTTGTGATTTAGAAATGTATATTAAGTTTTGATATTGACATTAAATTTTAATTTTTTTTTTATAAAAATGGTCAATTTGATACATTCTTTTTAACAGTTTTACAAAATCGGTTCCGGTTCTTTGATTTAAATAATTTTAGACGGTTCAATTTGATTTTTTTTCAATTTTATTTTAATTTTGATCAACTAGTAATTTTAAAATAGTAATCCAAACAAATTCATCTCTAATTTTCAATCCATTCGATTGAACCAGTTATTTTTCTTATGAAACGAAAATATAATAGTTTTTTAAAGTAAGCAACAAACTTTCCTTAAAAAACTGCTGGCAAATATTCCTTTAAATTCTATGAAGTCACAAGTGTATAATCCAGTAATAAAAGGAATGATGTGAATTCTCTTGCTTAACATTATCGTCAGTTTCAATGAATCTCTTTCGCCTAAACAAGGTTGGAGAAACTAATTTTCTCCAAGAAAAATTACGTAATAAGCTTAGCTATGTTTGGAAAAGTATTTACCATGCTAAAGAATGAAAGGGCTGTTGGTGTATTGGAAATGATAACACTACAAATGTTTGGGAAGATAATTGCATACCAAATCAATTGAGGTTTAATCTGCTATAAATCCTGGGAAACAAAGATAAATGGAATTAGGGACCTATATAAACCAAGAAAGCGCTACATTTTAGTTCCCAATAAATTCAATATTGAATCCACATAACCACTTTGAACAAAGAAATAAATAGTTTTTCTTGTCCCTCAATCACATCTTCTCCAAATTCTTCTCAAAATTTGTTAACAAATAACTGCTTCTGGTTGGCACATACTATGTGGAGGCAGGCTTGTGCTTAAAAGGATCTCTTACTATAAATGTTTTTTTGGACTTCTAGTCTCTGTTATTCATATGTTAATAAAAAGATGTGTATACTAGAATTTTTTGGTAACTTGATATTAAGGCAAAAATGTTCTTCATTCCCTTAAAGTTTAGAAGTCGTGTAATTCCTGAGTTCCTTTCGAAGGATCTTCCCAGTTGGAGACCTAGGTATCTTGTCGGTGAAGAACACTTTCCGAACCTTCTTGTATGGAGAAACCTGACATAAAAAAAGAGGTTAAATATGAAAAGCATTCCAATAATAATACACTATGACATTAATTCAAGTAGTAATATCAATTCAAATATCATAATTATGTCTGTCCTATCATAAGAAGAACCTGCTCGGCGACGTAATCGATAACATGCTTTGGAGAAAGTAGACTTTCGACCTTCTTGACCACAAATGCTACTGGAATCTCCCCAGCTTCTTCGTCTTTGGCACTGATATGGAAAAACGATGTAACGGTTGAGGTTATATTTGAAAATGTGCAAAGAGGCACTTTAGAAGACTATGGATGGCTGCATTTTCAATAGTTTACAGAAAGGAAGACATGAATGAAGTGTTCATACTTCATATACTTACGCAGTAACAGCAACATCAACTATTTCTGGATGCGAAAGTAACACTGCTTCTAAGTCCGCAGGAGCGATCTGTACACAAATCATGTGATACATAAGAACAATTCGTTGAAATAGAATAAAATTAAATTGTATTACAATAACACGTAGTAAATGAAGATCATGCAATAAAACCGAAAATTAGATACCTGAAACCCTTTGTATTTGATAATGTCTTTCAAACGGTCAGACAAATGTAAATATCCATCCTGATCAAAATAAACAATATCTCCGGTACGTAGCCAACCATCTTTATCAATTGTTGACATTGTAGCTTCCTTGTTATTCAAGTATCCTGAGAAATAAAGGAAAACGTTTGATTAATGACCGTGTTTCCCTTTTTAATGTTGTATCTATATCTATTCAGAAAAATACATTTTTACCTCTCATAATTGAAGGCCCTCTCAACCAAAGCTCGCCGCTGCTGCCTGGGGGCAAAAAGGCACCATTGTTCCAGTCTACAACTTTTGCCTCCATGTTTGGAGCTAACAACCCTATTGAAGAATAGTCGTGAAATTTTTCAGTATTGAAGCCACGTGTTCCTACTGCGGTCGACTCGGTCATTCCATACCCCTAACAAAGAAACAATCTTACAGCTACAGATCCTTACAAAATCTAGGAAAGTAACATCATTATCATAAACAAATAAAGTTCCACATTGATGGTCAAGATTCGGTTGTGGATGTAAACATCAATGGCACAAAAAGAGTATCTATCAGCAGGGCCACGTTTGAGGGTGTGCAAGGCGGGCTATCACACAGGATCCAAATTTTGTCACGGTTAAACTGTGGTTTAATAGTGCCTCTAATTATTTTATCGTGATTGAACTGTGACTAACCTGCGCAGGTCCTCCAAAAACTTAAGACGACTTTTTCTATCAGTCGCTATTAAATTTTCAAAGCTCGCATGTTCTCTCATAAGTAAATGTAGTCAATGTTTAACTACTAACAACAATAACAAAGAAAATTAACTCAAGCAATCATATAAATGATGGAGCATTACTTCAAAGAAAAACAACTCAAGCAATCATATCAATGATGGATCATTACTTGCATTCTGTAATTAAGACAATTCTATTACAAGGTTCTTTACCTGTATTAAATCAATGTTAGGGAAAGCACGGACAAAACCATTACTAACTTCTGCGCTCAAAGGCGCTGCACCGCAGGAAACCTGTCTCAAACTCTGCAACTTACTTCCATTAGCACCCTTTGCCTTCATTGTCAATGCCGATAACATCGGCGGAACAACAGGATAGTGTGTAACATTATATTTGTCAATCACTCTAATAACCTCATAAATATCAAATTTCCTCATTACAACAATTGTAGAACCCAATGACAATAATCCAACAGCGAAGAGCGATAAACCATATATATGAAACATTGGCAGAACAGCTAGAAACACATTCTTGGAACAAGAGTCTTCATATTGAGAAGCTTCAAATCTCACAAAATGCTCAACCATAGAAATAAGATTTCTATGAGTTAAAACAACTCCTTTGCTCACACCTGTGGTCCCAGAAGAATACAATACACCAGCAGTATCTTCTTGCTTAATAATTGGCCTTTGAGTCAAATCAAAGTTACCATAAACAAGGCTAAAAAAACAAGAGAAACAATCGTTCTTCAAATCCTTCTCATTCTCTGGCACAACAATAACGGGAAAAGCTAATAGCTCTAGTTTCTTGATATTTTCAGGTACAGTAAAAGCAAAATTCACACCACACTCATTAACCTGCTTGTGAATTTCAGAAACACTACTAAGAGGATTCAATGGTGTAAAAACAGCACCTAAATAAAGAACAGACAATAGTATAACAGGATAGTAAATTGAATTTGGAAGTAAAAGCAAAACAACATCACCTTGTTTAACACCCATTTTGTTCAAACCAGAAGCCATGGTTTTAACTAAAGGTAACAACTTTGAGTAAGAAATGGAAAACCCAGAGGAGGAATCAACAAGTGCCAAAACCCCATCATGAGAATGAGAAAAAATGAAGGAAACAATGTCAATAAAAGGGTCGGTTGGAAGGTTTATAGGAGAGTGAATACTATTGTAAATACCAGTTTTTGATGAATACCAATGAGGGTAAGTCATGTCAACAAGACAGTTGAAATTTGCAGGCATTAGTTTAGAGAAAAGAGAATGGTAATGTGTTGCAAAATGGTGTATCTCTATGTTTGGTATTAGGATTGAAATTGTGTGATTGGAATGAAGAATGGTGGCTTGAGAGTGAAGGTTTTGTGTTTGTGGAAATGTGTATATGAGATTTAGGAACGTAATAGCTACGTCTAGGGACAATAATAATTCATCATGTTCGAATCCTCTTTGAATAAGGTTCACTGAAAGTATAACTTTGAAATTGTTTAATATATTTTCTTAAAATTAGAAAAAGTCAAATATACCATAAATATTTATATCTACTATTTAATGTGATGGAAAAGAAAACAAAAGAAGAGCGGGGAAATTGTTTAGGTTAGAGATCCTATGAGTAGGGTTGAAATTTTCTGCACGCATTAGGCTCTCAAGTTGAGTCAGAAGCTTTTATGCTAACATAAGTTATATATATTAATCATTTCATTTATCTAAAAAATGAATTTTTCTTATAATAAGAATTTGATGGGGTAATATCTAGTAATGGACTGTGTGTTCTCCTTAATATAATTATTTCAATTATTAATTAATATAAAATTTAAATAGAATATATAGTAACTAATACATTTTTAAATAAATTTAGACATGATGTAGTCCTTAATCTAAAATAAAATGAAATTTATATTAAATTTTGTCTAGAATTAGAATTTAGTAAAACTCATCTCTAAGAAATGGACTTGCAAGATGAATATGTCATTCAATATAAACTATTTTAAATTTATATGTCTAATGTGAGACTTCAAATCTTCTTTCTAATAAATCCTTACAAATGTAGTATTAAGTTCATGTAACATGTTAGTCAAAGAGAAATAGGAAACAAGTTGTTTGTCATTTATCTTAAAAAATTAGGTCAATACAAAAATAGAATACAAACAAGTAATAAGTTGTGTCGTTATTCATTTTTGAATCGCAAAATCAATTCTCTTAAAAACTACATTCATAAATTTAGAAGATACAACATTGCTATTCATACTTCTTTGACCTCTCTGTAAAAGATCAAATGCTTCTAGTATTAGGAAATCAAAAGTATCGAAGACAAATTATATAAAAATATGTTGATTTTCAGAACACACTTTCTAATGTTTGACCACTTTACTCGAAACAACTTTGAGAGTTGTCTGTCCAACAATAAAACCATCAGTCCTTAAATCCACAAGTGGAGAAACTCCCGTCAAGTCCACACAAGCATGTTTCCCTCCTACCCACCCGTACACCAAAAAATCTGCATGTCTAAGTATCGATCTCCCCTCAAGTGGGTCAGTCGAAAAATTCACAGGCACTTCTTTCTTCACAGATACTCCGACACATCATAATATATCAAACATTACATCCCTAACAAGGTCATGTTAATATTTGAAACCTGGAAGCTCCCTACAATGAATCGCGTGTTCTTCAAATATATCCAAACATGTCTTACGACAAACAAGGTAAATCTCATCAATATGAAATAAAGGAATCATAAAGCGGTATCTTAGGATAATGTGATACTCCACCGGTGACATATGTTTGTCTAATCCATGAATAGGAATAACAAGGAGAAAGTCCTGAGCATGTGGAACTTGCAAACAACTAAAAATTGTCTTCTGTCTTGTGGTCATGTCAAACTCCACATCCATGTTCTTAATAACTTTACTAAAAAGGGTACTCGCCAAAACATGTTGTGCTTTAGGAGGTACCGTGTTCTTACTAGTAAAATTGCTAAGGTCAAAATCTGGAATCGCAACACTAAGACCATCCAAAGCTCTATCGAAATCTGAGTCCATTCCATACATCTCACAATGTCTCAATATATGATTCTACAACAATCAAAATTGGGCCTTAGAAGGCAGAAAGGTGTATGAGCCAGTCTCTACAACCGAGTACAAACCCAAACCCCCAACTCTAACGGGTAATGAAGCCACCCTCCATTGAAGGTCCCCGAAGAAAGGACCTTCACCAACCACAATGTCTTCAATCGCCTTCCACAACTCTTTATCAAATCAAACAACTACTTCCTCCATATGAGTAGATTGACATGTTCTTAGGCCAAAAAACAATTTAATAATACCCATGTGTTGTACCCCAAAATTTGCCCTCTCATTTCTCAAGGAACCACCCTGGATCCTCAAGTTTGTTTTCGTCCAATTCCAAGCCTTGAATTATCAATTTTTCCAAGCAAACCATTCACAAGGGCAAAATGGTCATTTGCACACTGAGAAGTCTAACTTTGACTTTTGGATCAAAATCAAATCTCAAAAATCATATTTCATCAAGAGATGTTGGAATATGAAGTTTGTTTCATCAAGAGTTTCAAAAGTCAAAATTTTACTTTGGAAAAGTCAAATTCTAAAATACTTAGAAATTTTTCTAAGTGTTTAAGAAATATGATCATTTCAGAACTTTTGGGTCAGTGTTCACACTCAGCAAATTCTGGATAGTCTCAAGACAGAATTTGGTCAGAACTTTTGGGCCAGTGTTCACAGAGGTTCAGTCAGAGTTTGCCAAGGTAAATCAAAGAAGGTTACAAAGCATGCTGCAAGCTTACTAGAAAGTCTGAGGGACCCTTCAGAATATGCTGAAGCCAGAAGATAAGAGGATCAGAAGATTGGATGCTACGCTGAAGTAGAACTTCTAATCCAGAGTTAAGCAAGGATGCAGAGTTTCACATGGGAACTCATTTAATGCTCACAACCACTTTTGAGTTTTTATCCAAAGGATTTCCTCCACGTGTACCCCTACTGTCTCGGGAAGACAAACTTTTGTGCAAAAGTATGCTAGACCCATGCGCTGTTTCTACTTTTCCTTAATTCATGATGACAAATCCAGCTTAGGAGCCGCTAACCATCCCATCTGGTGCATTGAACCATGCTTGTTTAAGCTTACTTCAGGAGTAAGTCAACTTCTAGCATATGATGTTGGCGCCACTTGACATCTCCAAACTACAAAACCTTTACCTATAAATAGAACACCATTGGCCACTGAAAAAAAGGTCAAGGAGAAATTTGTGAAAGAGGTCGAAAAATTGAGAAAGAAAAGTCTTGAACCCCTGCAAAAATTCTAAGAATCCACAAAACTATAAACACAAAAATACAAAACCTTAGCATTCAATTCTTGCATCCAAACTCCAATTTTTCCTCAAATGTTTCTTGACTAAATCCATCCAAGCAGTTGCTGATTCACATATTAGAAGTTACCCTAACTTTTGTATTCCTACTGCCATACATTTTCCATCCACCTCCACCTCAAAGAAGTCAGAATATCACCCCTCGGCTGTTCCAGAAGTTGCAAACTTCCATCCTGCTGAGTACGTGAAAAAGCTGCTCAGAACATCACCAGAGTTCAGGACCAACCTCCAGTTCACAACATTTTTTCCAGCTGCAAGGTAAGTTTTCTGCTGACTCTCATCATACTAATTAGGCATTTCCAGATTTTGCATATTTAACACAATGTAGATATTTTGATCCTGATGATGTACATATTCTGAAATTTCATGCATCTGCCTACCTAAGTAGAAGGAATCTCAGTTCAGAGTTTTATGAAGAAATTAGGACTCAGAATTAGGATTAACAAATTCATGTTGCTTCTGATTTGTGCTTCTGATATTTCATGAAATTTGTCATAACTATTATATGTGCAACTTATGTTTTGTTAAGAAATGACTAAGTTACAGATGTTCTGACTAGCATAGAGGGAGGTAAAGTTCTGACATTTGCATCAGAACTTCTGAAAACTTCTGAGTACTCAGAAGATCCAGAACTTCTGAGCTTTCATATTTCTACTAATGTTGTTTCTGTTTGTGCAGCAAGTCAGAGTCAGAACTTTTGACCTCTTCTATTTTCAGCATTTATGCTGATTTTGTTTCTTTCTCTTCTATTATTTTCTTGCCATCATCTTTATTTTTCATTAATAAAAAAACACCAAAAATATTTCATATTCACATGTTATATTTTCTTTTACATAAAAAGACAAAAAAATATTTTCTTAAATAAAACTTATTTCCTTTTTTTTTTAAAACGAGACAAAATTTTACATTTCATGTACATTCTTATCCATTCAATATGGTTGTAATAGTAACATAGAATTTAATTTGCAATCCTCATTTGAAATTTGTACACCCCCATCCCCCTAATGATTTTAATAGCGTAGAATCTTTATTTTTCGTACTTTTATTGCTTTCATATATTATTAGTAATTAGGGTGTGTATGAAAAGACTAAAATCAATGTTTAGAAAACTCTAATTCAAGACAAAGTATGCATGCAATCAAATACACTCGCACACTTACACCCTTAGGGTAATTCCACTTGTTGCCTTACAAAAATGGCCATGTTATGCATGTGAGATGTCTTAGCACAAACAAATAAAAAATACAAGATCATAGTCCCTCGATGACGCTATCAAAGTTGCCTTTCAAAATGATCTTAGTCCCTAAAGAAAAGTGTTAAGTCATCTCACAACATTGCTATCATGGTCATACGATGACCTAACGCCTATCCCTTCACATCCAACGATGGGGCTTCTTACCAAGTCAATGGTAAGATAGCAACATCTAAAGGAGGAGGAAAAACACATCTAAGACCTTTTGAGTAGGTAGACTACTTTTAGTTACTTGCTCACTCTCGAAACAAATATCCTTGCTATTTTCAAAATAATCACATACACTTTCCAAACATCTTCCAAAACATGAAATATTTTCAAAAGCTCAACACTTTGTATACGTTCTTACGAACAAGAACTATTACAAAG